CCCTATGTCCAATTTACTGAATAAAACCCTAGGCCCAAAAGAGGCTAGTTGAATATCAAAAAAAAAAAAAAAAAAAATGAATGCATATATTTTAAATAAAATAAAAAATATTTTTTATTAAGAAATTTTAAATATTTTTTGTAATCTGTACAACACATGTGTCAATTATTTAGCATGTTATCATTCCAAACATGTTGTAAAAAAATTGCATTTACTACTATATATCTTTTTACTTATATACTACGCATTTCAAATTACTAAACCACGATAATAATGAGCCAGAATAGTGCATCTCAAGGTAATAAAGAAAGATATAATTTGCTAGTTTTGTACACATAAATTCAAAATACAATTTTGAAATTAAGTTGTATAAATGCACATTTTAAATTCACATTCAAACGTGTAAATTATAAACATTCAAGCAGCTTAATAAAATCAATGTTAAGGCTCCACAATTGCTGACAAGGCTGTTAAAAATGATGCCTGCGTCTGGTATTTGCAAAGCTATAATTAATGCATATGAATCTGATTAAGCCCATTAAACATTTATAACTAGTGCACTCAAATCTAAATAAATGTGCAGGGATAAACACATAATAAAGCTACCTAGGTATAATAGGTAGAAAATAAAATTACTTGAAAAGTTTATAAATAATTCAAGTACTGAAACACAAACCAGATAGTCCAAGAATAAATATACTGCATGTTTTATGTTAATTAATTAAAATAGCTTTATTATCTGTAATAATATAGAATTTTATCTGAATTGGTTCTAAAAAATGCTCATTAGTAACTAAAAAGTTCTAATATTTAACAAATTTTTCAATTCTAGATTTCACTAAAAAGACTTGCAACTGCTGCTACAAAATAAAGAAAGTAGTAGACTTTTGTCACCTTTCTGGCAACAACCCTCAATGTGAGAATTCGATGTGTAATGAATGCTCTGAAAGATTGAAGAATAAACCCCAAGAAAAGAAAATAGTCATCACTCCAAAAAAAGCAAAACATGAAACAGCACAAATTAACATCACCTCAAAAAATCCTAATGCCAACAATGAAAGCTCGAGTATGATCACTTCAAGCAGCTTTGGTAACATCCCAAATAATTCTATTATCATCCCAGATGACTTCAGCATTATTTTCCAAAGTAATTTCAGTTTTATTCAGAATGACTTCAGTATTATCCTCCCAAATGATCCTAATATTACACAGAATGACTCTAGTGTTATCCTCTTAGGCAATTCCAGCATCACTCAAGACAATCACTCTAACATGATTATTCCAAGCGATTCTAATAATATTATTCTAAACAATCTCAGAATTACTATCCCAAAGGTTCCTGATAATATTGTCTTCACTAATATTGTATCTAGCAATTCAAGCAACATTACCTCTAGCTATTTCATTGTATCAGATATAGATAACAATATTGGACTTTTTTCTGAAAAAGATTTTGTTGAACTCTCGGATAGGAATAGTGATAATGATGATAATAATAATTGTATGATATTTCTATATGATTTAGATGAAGTATATGAAATTACTGCCAAAAAGTTTGAAGAAGCAGAAACATCTAGTGAACAATTATAGTTTACCTTTGAAGTTGAATTAGACCAAGACCTTCTCGTTGCAGTTTCTCTAGATTAGGGCAACCTTAGTGGCGATAGAGACTTAAAAACAATTGAAAAGAGATTCTGCCAACTTGCCAACATACTAATAGTACTACTTGAATCTGACTCAGGATATTATTGGGAGATCCGTAAATTATATTTAAATAGCAGGAAAAAGGCATTTTCAGAGTTGGCCACGGTATATCTTGGGAGCACAATAAGAAATGACTGAGCTTGGCAAAGACAGGATGGCCAACTACCCAAACGAAGAAGTGAAGCTCATGCTCCCATAAGTAGGTATAACTGCATAGGAAATATAAGACTTACTATAATTCCAGAACAGCAATATGCTCTTATCAAAGAAAGCCATAAAGTGGCCTATGAAAAGCCAACATATCGATGAGTCAAATTTCCTGTAATAGCTAAAAATTGGATTAAAAATAATGTCTCATTCAATATGTGAAGTACAGAGATATATTACTGGCTCTGTAACAATAAACTTATAGACCCAGAGATTCACACAGTAGAGCAAGTGTACTACTGGGTATCTATAAGCAACAAAAAAATGTATATAATGGACCAAACAAACCAACTCTTATTGGCAAAGCTGTACTTGAAGCAACCCGAATTCATAGAAAAGCCTTTAAAATCCTTAATTATTTAGAAAATAACTTCGTAAGAACATTGGGATTTTTAACGCCATTAATAAAACATATTGGAGTTAAAAATATAACCGAAATTGTCATTGACTCTATATTCAAGACCAACCAAGAGAGATTTGAGTTCTTTGCAGTGAATGTGAACTGTGGTGAGTATGGTATGCCCATAGCATACCTTTATCTTTCTATACTTGATGGTACTGAAGAAGCCCTGTGCAGTTAAAAGAATTATATAAAAACACGTGTTGAAGTGTTGTGAATGTTCTTTGCTAGTCTTCAACAAGAGGGGCTGAAACCTGTGTTTGTTTTAATAAATAAAGATGCTGGCGAGATATCTTCAATTAGTGAGGCATGGTCTTGAATCACCAATGTTCAACTTTGTTACTGGCACCTTGAGCATGCTATTAGCAGAAAAATAAAAAACAAAAAATTCAAGACAAATATATACACAGCAACCAAAGCATTAGAAGCCTATCACAAGTTTGAGTTCATCGATCCGTCATGGTTCTGAAGTAATAACGGATTCTTCTGTCCAGATAATTATGCAAAGCAGCTTTTAGAAATGATAAAGAGACATGCAAACATGCATCTGCTCATTCTGGTGACCAAGAATTCATATATGACATTGCAAGAGATCTATAAATTCTGCATTAAAGAGTTATATCAATTCTGTTATTTGTATGATCTTGTCAACTATGGGGCTATTTGTGGACAAATTGGTATAACGAAAGTGACTGGAAATTGTTTGCACAATCATCATATTCACTAGCCATGCCCTTAGCACGTACAATGATGATCACAGAAAGTCACTGGCAAGTTCTCAGATATACTTATAAGTATAACTATAACCATCTATGTGTAGATAAACTCATGCAAATTATAGTGGAGCAACTCATTCCAGATTTTGAAATAAAAAAAGCTCAGTACGATGGAAACTAGACCTTCCCTGCTTGGTGGCATGATTTCAAAAAGGATTGGAAAAAAGCTGCTGCTGCAGATACTCAATCAAACATGGAAGAAAATTACTAAATTGACATGAACAACTGGGTATGTTCTTGTCCTGCATATCTATATAGCTGTTATCATCTATGCAAGCATTTTGTCCACAAAAAGTATGGTAAAAATTTTTTACCTACATTTTTGCAGACAAGAAGATGGCACAATTACTCTTTACTTACCTTTGAAAACAGTGAGATGCCTGCAATTACTTTGACAAATAATCCTTGGATCAGGCTCGATATAGCATCAATTGCCAACAATTCTTCAATGAGCAATTCTGTTGAAGATGGCAACTTTAGATTAAGAAGTTTATCAAATATGTTAGTAGAAGAAAATTTTGATATAACAAAAGAGAGACAAGAAAAGTATACCTGATATAAAGAAAAATTCGAAGCTGCTCTTGAGCTATATAAACGGGAGATGAATAATGATAAGTTTATAAATAGTTTTGATGCTCTGATGATGCCATTTTTAAAAGAAATTAACCTGTGTAAAACAGCATTACAGTCATGTAATCAACAGGCCACTTCAAAATCAAAGGGAAAGCTCACTTTTTGGCTGTGTTAACCCACATATACATGTAGCTTGGCTTTGTAAAGAAGGCACTTTCTAATGAACATTATTTTGGTTTTGTCTTTTTTTTTTTTTGTTTTTTTTTTTTTTTAATGCATTGAATAAAATTAACTACAATTGGCTCTTTCTATAACACATCGATGGCTCTGAAAAAAAAGTTTATCATAAAATTACAATGCTTGCTTAAAATAACTAGTTTATAACAAACTAATATTAAATTTAGAATTTTCGAGTTTGTTATATCCAGAGTCGTTCGTTATATTCAGAGTCAACTGTATGGGAAATTCTTAAGTTACTAAAAAAAAAAGAACCACTCTAAATTCTAATTTAAATAAATATAATAAATTTGAATTGACCAGATAATTTATAAAGATCCAATTGGTCATATCGGGATCTACAACACATAATCGAATTTTTTTTTCACCATGGCTAGGGTATTAGGTTTGCTTGAGATGATGTCATTGCTTGTTTTGTAGGAGGTATGCTAAATTGTCTACTTTTGTTGCTAGCTGGAATTTGAAAAAGCCCAGTACATCTTTTTTTATTGTATGCATCTTTGTAAGTGGCATCTAGGTTAGTACAATGTTGTTGCTGTCTAGTAGGATATTTGTGGTTGCTGCTTATTATGCCTGAAGTTTATGTTTTGTAACTGAGCAAAATTGCTAGCCTCGATAGCCTTAGTTCGCCTTCATGATTGAATGTATTGAATTTTCTTTTTTTGTTTTTGTTTTGTATAGTTAATATGGTTATACCTTTGTTTTGTATCTTGTATAAGTAGTCTTTTTGCCCAGAGTGGGCTTTTTTACTTAGGTTTTCTTCTATTATATTCACTGTTTTTATTTTTTTTGTTTTTTTGCCTCTGCTAATTTTTATGTTTTGAGATCTTTTAGTATTTTATTTATTATCATTATGTTTCTTTATTTTAACTAAGTTTAATTCTAAGTTTTTTAATTTAAATAGCTTTATTATATTTCTTTTCAGATTATGATTCTTTTTTTTAATTAATTGTTTATTTGTCTTTCTTTGTTAAAACATAATATTGCTACTATTTTATTTATATAAATCTTAATTTTTCTTTTTTTTTAGTATTATTAGAAGCATTTACTAAATAACTAGTAACTTTAATTTTGGCAATAAGAGTTAATTTTTATTATCTATAGTACTTTTGTTTATTACTTTTTCTTTTTTTATATTTATTTAAATTTAGTTTGCCTTTATATAATTATTATCAAAAAAAATTTTTGTTATTAACTTTTTAAAAGAACTATTTATATAGAAAATAAACTTTTTATTTAATTTCAATTAATTTTTTTGGTTTTTAAAAATAAAAAAATTTTAAATCTTTATTTAATTATTATTTTTTAATTACTTTTGTATTTAAGTTATTATATATTGCATTTTTAGCTAAAGTTTTATAGTTATCTGATCTATTTTTATCTTTTTTATGCAAACTATTTATTATTTTTAAGTTCAACTTAAATAATAGTTTCACTTTTTTTTTAACAAATTTTAATTAAAAACTTTAAATTTTTTTTTGTTAATTCATTTTTTACAATTTTTTTGTTTTTTTTATATAGTTAAAACTATATTTTTTATATTTTTTAAAAATTTAGCTTATTATAATTTTCTTAAATTTTATTTTTTAATACACTTTAAATACTTTCTTTAGTGTATTCATAAACTATCTTTTTTATTATCAAATTATTAGTTTTTTTTTCTTTTAATAACTTTAATACTATTTATTTTTATTTTCTATTATTTTTTGAGTAACTATTAAGATATATTTTTAGTATTTTTTTTAGTTTTATTTAATAATATATAATTCAGTTTTAACTGTTTATTATTTTTGTTTTCTAATATAGTTTTTTAATTTTTTAAACTAGCTGATTGATTTACTTTTACTTAATTCTTTGCTTAGTAGTTTAAGCTATTGTTATATAATTATTTTATTAGTTATTTTATTAATAAGTTGGTTTATTAAGATTATATTAAAAAGGTGTGGTGACCTAGTGAAGTGGATAGGTTGTCAACTCCCAAGTGGCAAGTCTAAGGTTCAATTCCCACAAATGACGAATTTTGGAAATTATACCTATATTACAGTAACTGTCTCTTGCTGATCAGTTGGGTTTTGGGCATCTGTAATCTTAGGTACACCAAGTCAAGTCCCACCTGACATTGGGAGCTCAGGGCATCTATGCGAAATGTAACATTACATGGTACATGTATATAGAGGAATATAAAACCGATATTGTATAAAGCTTCAGACAAACCCATGATAAGACCATCAGGTGTAGAAGGCTAAGAAACCGAAGAGACAGAAACTCACTTGAAAATCCTGAGTAAAGAGGTAGCACAAACTTTCGATGGTGCCATTGGACTGACAGAAGCCCATGAAACACCTTCATAGAAACTGTTGGATAAACCAGATAACAAAGATGTGTAGAGGAGCATATGACCAACCAGACTACCAGAATCACCAGAGGAAAAGGATACATAAGTATACCATACCGGGCTATCTGGATTGGGAGTCTGGGGAGTCAGTTAGTTCTGAGTTGCGACTAGTAGGTGATGATGAAGAAGAAGTTAGAAAAATAAGTACTAGGGTTTGGATGAACTTTACAAGGATAATAGCAGTTTAAGAGATAACCCTAACTGCAAGTGTTGGCTTTGGTCATGATGTTAAACCAGGTTAGCAGTAAAAGAGAATACAGCTTGCTCTGGTAGATTTACCTCAAGGATAAAAATAGTCTAAGGATTATAGTCTTATGGTTGAATGTGAATAGATCTGGGTCTGTGATCTGGTAAAATTAATACTAGAATTAGATTAGAGGGTTTAAATAGAACATCTAAGCAGGGGTGTTAGGTACGGCAACTGGTAGGAAACCCTTGGGCAGACTCCTTAAATAGGTAATATAGAAAAGTTACACATGTAGCCAGTTGTACACTTGTCTAATAGTTCATTATAGATATGTCTATATAAAATATATACTCGCTATAAGTATTAATAAAAAGCTCGGACCAAAAAGGTCACCTTAATACTGAAAAAAAAAAAAGATTATATTAAATTTTCTTAGTATTAAGACTATTTGAGTTGCAAATTTATTTTTTAATGCCTTTATAATTTTTATTTTTTTACTATTTTCTTTTATGTTTATATTATAAATAAAATATTATTTATATAAATTATCATTATATCTATTATTATAAATTTTGAAACATCTGCTCATTATCCGAAATCTTTTTATTTGTTCAGTAATTTATCTAACTCTGAAAATTACTACATCTGAACTGAAGAGTTAAGTAATTTACCTAGTAACCAAAAAGATTTTAGATAATGAGCAGATGTTCCAAAATTTATAATAATAGCTATAATACAATCTAGAAAAAAACTTACTAATCTCTAATAAGCCAGAATATTATTATTACTTATTATCTATTACTTTAATCTATTACTTTAATTTATTACTGATTATTTGTTATACCAATTCAATTCAATTTATTTAATTGCAATTATATAAAATATATATTAATGTTGATTACATGATTTAACTAACTCTTCTATGCTTTATATGTTCAACAATTCTTTTAATATCATCATTGCTATATTCTAAAAGATGATTTGCTATAAAACATCTGGCTTGATCAATTGCTCTAATGCCAACTTTACTAAATATATTAAATATATTTTGTACCTTATATATTATCTAATGAAGATTGCCTATTGTCCTTTGATGACTTATATAAGATAACATTGTGTTGTATATTTGTGTATAAGCTGCTCTATCCTTTATGCCCTTACTTATTAATTTCTTTACTTGATTTGTGAAAGCTTAAGCATAATTATACCATGTCCTAATTTCTATTGAATTAGACTTTTGATTGCTTTTTAGCTTGTTTTGCAATATTAAATAAATTGACTAAAATTTGATTTGTTGGTTCATAGCCTTCAACTGAGCTATCTTTTGTTCTATTAGGAGTAATTAGAACCTTGACAACTTCTGTTATTTTTGTTAGTACTTTTGACCTATGTGGCCTTTTTAATAATGTCAATGGAGGTTTTAATACATTATTTGCAAACTTATTTTTCTAAATCAAAATTAATTTTTAATATACATTTCATAATATGAATATTATATAATACTATATGATAAATTTTAATAATGCTAACCTGTTCATTAGTTTGTTTATTGACTTGTGCTTACCCACTATATGCTTGCTTACCTTGTGCTTACCTATTATTCACTTGTCCATCTTGTTCTTGCCCATCATTCACTTGCCTATCTTGTGCTTGTCTGCTTTGTGCTTGCCCATCATATGCTTGTTCACTTTGTGCTTGCACATCTTGTGCTTGCCCATTTTGTGCTTGCCTACTTTGTGCTTGCCTGTTCTGTGCTTGCTTACACACTTGTGCTTGTAGTTCATTGACATGTGCTTGTTCATTAATTTGCTCTTGTTCATTATCATCTTATGCTTATAGTTCATTAAATTGCATCTGTTTATCAGCTTGTGCTTGTCATTTATTGGCTTGTGTTTGTAGTTTATTGGCTTGTGCTTGTCATTCATTAGCTTGTGCTTGTAGTTCATTGACTTGTGCTTGAAAAGATAGTATGTTTAATATTTTTTTAAGACAATGTGGAGTTAACATTTCAATATATCGATTTGATGTTTCATAGTCTTTATATTTGCAAGAACAACAATTATATTTCATAATACACTTTCAGTGAAAAAAGTGCCTGCAGTTGAGTAAAATTACTAATTGCAAAAGATTAGAAGAAATTTTACAACTATATATTTTGCAAATATTAGGATCTCTACATTTTACAGAAATTAAATCATCATTATCGAAGTACAATTTACAAGCAAATTTTTTCAGTTTGTTTATAATTAATAGAAAAAATAGTTTTACTATACATTTATCCATTTGCTTTATAAATACATTAAAAAAAAATAGATTTAAGAATTAGTAATCAAATAATATAAACTCATAAGTATAA